GCATCTAAGGTGGCCAAGGTGGCCTTCAAATTCGCCCAAGATGGCCTCCAAGACGGCCCAAGAACGTCCGAGATGTCCAAGATGGCCTCAAGATGACGGGAAGACGTCCCAAGAGGCCCCCACCAGGCCTCCAAGGCGGCTCCAAAGGCCTCCAAGAGGGCTTCCAGGAAGGCCCGAAGAGGCCACACACACATTGATTGTCCAAGGTTTTTGAAAGAATTCAGCATTTGTTTCGTTTCGGCCTTCCGACGGTCCAAGGCGGCCCAAAAGCCCCCAACGATCGCCCAAGAGGTCTCCAAGATGGCACCAGAACGGCCCAAGAGGTCCCCAAGACGGCCTGAGATGTCTCCAAGACGCCCAAGATGGCCCCCAAGACTGCCCTGGAGCACCCAAAGATTGCCCCAAATCGGCCCAGAGAGGCCCTCAAGACGGCTTCCGACGGCGTCAGACGGGCCAGGAACGCCCTAAGACGGGCGAAGAAGCCCCCGAGAAGACCTCAAAGCCTCCAAGAGGCCCAAGGGTGCCCGCAAGAGGCTCCCAGGAAGCTCCCTGGAGGCCCCAAGAGTGCCCCGAGAGGTTCCCAAGATGCCCCTCCTCCTCCTCCTCCTCCTCCTCCTCCTCCTCCTCCATAACGGCTGGGGAAGCACATGGTCAGGTAGCTTGCCAGAGCTCTTGCAACAACGCTCGGTCACATGGGCAATGCCAAAATGCAGGGGGCGGCGGTGACTCGCCGTTGGCGTCTTCGATACCTGCTTGGCACGGGGACGGAAAGCGCTCGCAATCTGTGAGGGCGCGAGATTGCTTGCTCAGTGTCTTGGAGCCCTCTTGGTGTTAATACGTTGGCGCGCTATACAAAAACCCAACAACCAACCTTGCGAAACTTTGTGAAGATGGCCTCTCCAGACCTTCTTGGGCGTCCTTTTGGGGCTCTAGGGCCGTCTTGGGTCCCTTTTGGGTCGTCCTGGGGCCCTCTTAGGCTGTCTTGGGCGGCCCGGGCCATCTTGGGGCCATCTCGAAGCCCTCTGTGGCCTTCGTCGGGCTATCTTGGGAACCTTTTCTGGCCCTCAGGGGCCTCTCTTGGGCTGTCTCGAGGCCATCTTGGGCCTTCTTGGAGCCCTCTTGGACCGTCTTGGGGTCGTCTTGGGGGCCTCTTGTGCCCTCTTGGGGCGATCCTGAGGGCCTCTTGGACGTCGTTGACCCTGTGAAGGCCAAAGAAGCAGAGATGCTAAACATGTAGGTTTTCGAATGGGAATGGGGAACGTTTTGGCTCTGGGGCGTCCTTTTGGAGGCCTCGTGGAGCGTCTCGAGGGCCTCTTTGGCCGTCTTGAAGCCACCCTGGGCGCTCTTTGAGCGCTCTCGGGCTGTCTTGGGGCCCTCTCGGGCCTCCCTGAGGCCGTCGTGGCAATAGCTTTGGCGCTCTTGGGGCCGTCTTGGGGCCCTCTGAGGCGCTCTTGGGCTGACTTGGGCCGTCTAGGGCCGAACATGGCCCAACATTTTGCCTCTGCCGCCTTGGGGCGATCCTGGGGGCCTCTTGGGCCGTTGACCCTGTGAAGACCAAAGAAGCAGAGATGCTAAAACATGCACGCTTTCCAGGATTTGGGCGAATTTCGCCTCTGGGGCGTCCTTTTGCAAGCCTCGTGGAGCGTCTTGAAGGCCTCTTTGGCCGTCTGGGCACTCTTTCAGCGCTCTCGGGCCGTCTCAGGGCCCTCTTGGGCCTCCCTGAATCGTGGCAGTAGCTTGGGTGCTCTTGGGGCCGTCTTGGGGCCCTCTGGGGCACTCTTGGGGCTGACTTGGGCCGTCTAGGGCCGAACATTGAGCCGCGAGACCTCAGGGGGCCTCTTTTGCCGTCTTGGGGCGATCCTGGGGGCCTCTTGGGCCGCTGCGGACCCTGTGAAGACCAACGAAGCAGGGATGCTAAACATGTAGATTTTCGAATGGGAATGGGGAAGTTTTGCCTCTGGGGCGTCCTTTTGGAGGCCATCCTGGGCCCTCTTGGAGCGCTCTCGGGCTGTCTCGGGTCTCTCTCGGGCCTCCCTGAGGCTGTCGTGGCGGTAGCTTGGGTGCTCTTGGGGCCGTCATGGGGCCCTCTGGGACGCTCTTGGGGCTGACTTGGGCCATCTGGGGCCGAACATGGCCGAACATCGAGCCATTACATATGGGTCCTCACTAACCAACCCCCTCACTCTCCCCCATGTTATCTCTCCCGATTGATGGATCGCGACGCTACGCACGTTTTCCGTCATCCGCTGACCCGCGTGGTCTTGCCTCAGGGGTGCCTGGCGTGTGAGATTTCAGGAAATTCCTGGTTCTGTTTAGATCTCCCCCTGCGGTTTTGGCCCACTATGCCGGCCGCCCGCAAAGCCGTCGACAATTCATCTCTCATGGGTCGAATCGCCTCCAAGACGGCCCAGATGGCTCAAGATTGCCTCCGAGATGTTCCCAAGACGCCTCCATGACGGCTAAGATGGCTCAAAAAAGGGTCCAAGATAGTTCAAACATGTTCCAAGAGGGCCCAAAATGCACCCAAGACGGCCCAAGATGGCTCCGGTATGGCCCAAGACGACCCGAGAGGCCCCCAAGAGGCCTCCAAGACGGCCCAAGAGGCCTCCAACATCAAATTTTTGCCCCCAAATCGTCCCAGAGGCCTCCAACATGTCTCCAAAACGGTCCCAGAGGCTCACAAGACGGCCCCCAACGGGCCCAAAGACGACCAAAGGGCCCCCTCAGACGCCAAAGATAGCCTCAAAGACGGCCCTGGAGGGCCCCAAGAGGGCCCCAAGACGGCCCAGACAAGCTCCTGAGACGGCATCCGATGGCGTCAGACGGGCCAGGAACGCCGTAAGACGGCCAAAGAGGCCTCCGAGAAGCCCTGAAACGCTCCCCAAGAGGCCCAAGGGAGCCCCAAAGAGGCCTCCAAGAGGCCCCAGAAGCTCCCTGTAGGCCCCAATAATGACACAAGAAGCTCCCAATAGGTCTCCTCATCCTTCTTCTCATCCTCCTTTTCCTCCCTCTCCTCATCCTCCTCTTCCTCCCCCACGTGTTCCCCAAAGGGCTTCTACAACGGCTGGGGGAAGGTATGGTAAAATTGCGTGGACAAACTTTGCCCGAACGTTTGGCCACATAGGCGTATTCTAAAAGGCAGGGGGCGGCGGTGATTCGCCGTAGGCGTCTTCGATGTGTATATATATACATGCATTTACAGCGATGTAAAAGTACATTTCCATATGCATAGAGGTGTTGAGAGAGGAAGGGATGGATGGAGGGAGGGAGGGAGAGAGAGAGAGAGAGGACGACAATATATATATATATACATATGTATACACATATGTATATATATGTGTATATATATAGAGAGAGGACAGATATGAGAATTGGCGAAGATTCTCCAGCACAGCACAGAGGCGCTAGCGATCGTTGGGCTGGGGATCCCTGTGGGCGTCTGAAGGAAGCTCCTGAGCTCCCCTCGGCTGGGCCGAGAAGGCCCAAGTTTTGGGGCACCGATGGCAACTTCTCCTCTCTCTCTCTCTCTAGGCGGAGGTGCACTCCAGACAAAGACAAGCGTGTAGGCGTGTGGAGCTCATGGCAACGGCAACTCAAGCCGACGACGTCCTGCTTCGCCGAGCAAAGACGTGGGTCGATGAGACTTCTGGGCTGGTCAGGAATGCAACTGCAGCCTCATGGCCCGGGATTCCAGTGCGCAGCTGGCACGAGCGTTGAGAACTAGAGTGGGGGGCTTGACCTAAGGAACCCAACATAAGGAACGAGGCCCCCTTTTTTCCAGGAGTTCAGCTTCGATGTCCGATCGAGAACATAAGGAAAGCCTGAGGCAAGCTGCGAAACACTTAAGGAACGCGGAGCCCCTCCCCAACGAAAAGGGTTCCTTCTTCAGGGCCCCGACTGTATTCTAGCTCTGGAAGGATATCCTTCTGGCCTTCGCCGCTGGGCCTGTCCTCCTCGAGTTCCTTTCGAGCTTCTCCGTGGGCCTTGGGCCCTCGACAGGGGGCTTCTTGATCGAGGAGGAGGAGGAGGAGGAGGAGGAGGAGGAGGGGGAGGAGGAGGAGGAGGAGGAGGAGGAGGAGGAGGAACATTCCTGTGGCCATGCTTCGACTGATCCATTGCGCAAGCAACAACATCGTGTTCGCTTCGGGTCCGCGCGGAGCACGCGGCCCTTCTGGAGAAATCGGAGACCGAAGCAACATATTAATCTTGCCTGTCAACGTCTGCCCCTACATGGGCTCCTAAAATCCTACACACTACGCAGATACACAATGCGTGTCATCAGAACCGTTACTTCACATCCTGAGAGCGCAGACTTAAAATTGATCACTGGGCCTCTGTCACACAACAACGGCCCAGCATCTCCTATGCTGCGCTGGCCAAAAAGTTCCAAGCGCTACAGCTGTCCGTAGCTGTTTCCCTACGATGGGTGCTCGCCTTTTGTCAAAGGTAGCGTATATGACATCAGCCACATGCGTCCGTTCTCGCACATCGGGCCTGTTGCCACTCCCAGCCATCACCCTCCTCCTGCGCCCCGTCTGGATTGTGAACGTGTTCTTACTCGGCGTTTCCGCATGGAGCGGACGGGAGGAGGGGAGGCGGGGATGTCTGGCTCCGGACCTCTGCTGAACGCGACTGTTTGCAGCAGTGCGTCCTTTGGGGGAGACTCCACCTGCTTGAAACCGGTGCCAAGAACAGCCAAGATCTACTCCATGGGGAGGGGGTGGTGCGAGGGCTCGCGCCGATCGGCAAAACAATGAATCAGAAATTGATCACATATCCTCTGGCATGCTTGGCGAAACCTCTGCGCATTCTTACATCTGCAGATGCTGTCTACGCAACTGCCTGCCCTCACACGACGGGAAAACAACCACTCGCATTGTCGCATGCGGCTGATATTTATGTCCCTATTCGAGACCGTGGACAGTACACACTGCGCAGTGCAAGCTGTGCACGTCGACAGGAGAAATTCGTGCATGGCAGCCAGAAGGACTGCGAATTTGTCAGGATGATTGGGGGACGCTCGCCATCCTACATATTGAAATCGCGGAAAGGGTGCGCACCTTTGTCAAGCGACTGGTGCTCAGGAACTTTACCTGGGGCGAAACGCGATTGGTTCGGGTATTGCTCACAACGACAATGCAAGTCATGCGCCTGACCCAGGAGGCAACGACACTGCACAACGCACCCTATCATTGCTGAATGAAACCATGCTTGCACTATAGGCTGTGGCGGGTCGCAAGTACGTCGAGGACTGCTCCGTCAGATCTTCTGGATCCCCACAAGGCCTTGTCCTTCGTGTCCTGGCCTCGGATGCCTTGGTGTGGTGCTGGGCTTCGCGGCCCACATGGCCCTTGCTCGCCTCCATTGCCACCATGGGTTCGGCCTCACGGTGCGCCCCGCAAGATCCCGCCTACAAGGCCCGCCAACGCCGCTTTTCTGGCACCCTCTTCTGTGTCTGGATGGCTCCAGGCCCGGCCTCAAAGGGCTGAAGATGCTCGAAGGCAAGCCCGGTATGACCCCAGGACCTCCCAGAGGCTCTTCGTAAGATGGGCCCAAGATGCTCCACGAAGCCCCCATAGACGGCTTCCAGCAAGGCCCCATGCAGCCCCAAACAAAGAGAACACCCAAGGGACTCGGTGTTGTTCGCTTCCGAAGCTCTTCGGTTTTGGATCGCCTCTGAAAATCCTCATACAGCCCCAAGAAGCCGCCAATGGGACCACATGGGCCCCAGAGGGCCCCACGACCGTCCCGCCAAGACGGCGCAAGACCGCCCCCCGAAGACGGGCTAGAGACCCACCCAGGCGCCCCCAAGAGTGTTCGGTCGAGTCTGCAGTCTGCCCAAGAGGTTGCGCCACGTTGCCACCCCTACTGCCTCGCGGCGCCCATGTGCTCTGAACTCACACGAAATGACTTGCACCCCATGTCGCTTTCACCTCCAGTTCGAGCCGCACAGCTTGCACGACATAGCTCACACCGCGTTGTTTACCTCCAGAGCTCACACCACATAGCTTCAACGGCATAGCTTCCACCACGTAGCCTTCACTTCCGTGGAGCAAAAACGCGCTTTTGAGTGTCCACGCGGCCCTTTAGATATGCATGCGCTAGCATTTGGGCGCCCGAGTTATCCGTGGTAACTCGGGTCCGGGGTAACTCGGGTTTGGGTTCCCAAAAAACGAACCCGAGTTATCCCTGACCCGAGTTACCCCTGATGATTCGGGGCTCTGGACGCCCGAGTTATCCGGGGTAACTCGGGTCCGGGGTAACTCGGGTTCGGATTCCCGAAAAACGAACCCGAGTTATCCCTGACCCGAGTTACCCCTGATGATTCGGGGCTCTGAAGCATTACGAAATGCGCAGAACGCGAGCCGACACGTTCTGGGGCTCCCCCGGCTCTTCTCGGCGGCGCGCAGAGGGGGGGAGGGGGAAGGGGGAGGCTCCTTCGAAGAAGGCTGCGTCTTAGAAGGCGCCGGCCTCACATCTATAGATAATGCCCTCGCCTTCTAAGAAGCAGCCCCCCTCTAGGAAGCCTTCCCCCCTCCCCCTGCCCCCCTCTGCGCCTGGCCGATCTTCCCTGGAAGCCTCTGCGGGGGACGCCCTCCCCCCCCCCCCCGGGCAGGCCACTCTCTGGCGCCTCCCCCCGCTCTCTCCCCCACCTTGCACCTCCACCTCCCGTGGGAAACAAAGAAGCCTCGAGGGAAAGCAACAACAAAAGCACGAGGTGCGCGACAACCTTCAGGGAAGAGAACGGAGCCTCGAGGCCCCCGGCCCCTCCCCCACACCTGGCGGGGATACAGAAACAGCCTCGAGGGGGAAAAACAGCAGATCTCATAGGAAAAGATGCCCCCGCCCCCCCCTCCTCCCCGTAGGAACAAGCGGACGCCTCACATGCCACTCCGCCGAGCCCCCGAGGGCACATCAAGCAAAGCCTCGAGGGTGGACCAACACCAAGCCCGAGCTCGGGTGTCGCCCACGGCGCCCCTGGCCCAAGGCACCCCCAGCTCTTCCCACCATCTTGGGAGCCCCTGGGGGCCCCCTGGGGCCCTGGTGAGGGGTGCTCTCTGGAGGCCGTGGGGGCCTGCTGGGAACTCCACCGGGGGGCAGTCTGGGCCAGCGGCACCTCTGGCAGCACCCGGCAGGCCGCGACGGGCCCGCACGCCGGTCGACGACCCCGGAGCCGCCAGCGCCAGCGCCCGAGGCGGCGACGGGCCCCCCCTTGGGCGAAAGCCCAGGGGCCTCCTTTGGATCCCGTCGCGGGTCGACCCCGGGGTCCCTCCTGGGCGGGGCACGGAGCGGGGTGTGGTCCAGTCCAACGAGAGCTCCGGCGCCTCTGAATCCATCGTGGGCGGCTCGTGGAGGCCTCTTGGGCGCGGCACGGAGAGGAAAGGTTTCGGGCCCCTCGGAATCCAATCACTCCCGCATAACAAGGGCGCACGATGGGGATGCGAGGGCCTCGGAAGGCCATGCCGACACTTTGCGAGCGGGGTGCGGCCAGCGAAAGCGGCCAATGATGGGCCGAATGGGGAAGGCTGCAAGGGTAACCTTGGAAAGTCGCGCAGCCTCACTATGCGGGGTGACTGTAGGCACGAAGTGGAAAATTGTCAAATCCCTTGGAATAATCCTGTATCGCATATTGCAATTCTCTTGTAGTGGCCCGCAGCCCAGAATTCCGGGCGCTCTGTGGCGCTTCTGGAGCTTCGCCCGTATTCTCGCTAGCTGTTTCTGGGGGCATGATGGGCCCCCAAACGAGCTAGGGTCCCAAGAGGCCCCCAAGACGGTCCAAGATGTTGCCCAATCCTTCGAAGATCGATACAAGACGCCCGAGATTGTCTCCAGATGACCCAAGAAACCCCCAAGACACCCCAAGAAGGGCCCCGAGAGGCCAGCATTATTGGCAAGATTTAGCGCTCTCGCCTTTTCAGCTTCCGACGTTGCCAATTTCCTGCTTCCGACGTTGCCAAGAGCCGGGACGGGGGACTGTCCGAATTCGCTGACCCCTTGGGTCTCCCTCGGCGTGTGAGACTCCACGAATCCCTCCCTTGGGAGCCTGGTCCAAGCGATTTGGAGGAGGGGTGGGGTGGGGGTGGCTCCCCAGGGGTGCTGGCGGACTCGTCTATCACAAATATTCGACCATATCGTTCCAAGACGGACCAAGAGGGCTCCGAGAAGGCCCGGAAGGGCACCAACATGGACCAACCTGGCCTCAAGATGACCGAAGATGACCCCAAGAGGTCCCTCATCATGGCCCACAAGAGACGTGCTCGCTTCTCTCCGGTCTTCTACATATGGAAACTAAACGCATTTTCGGTCTCCAGGATGTCTCTAAAACAACGCAAGCAAGCATCAATATCGCCCCACGACGGCCCAGGAGGGCCCCAATACGGCTCCAAGATGGCTCCCAATATTGTCCAAGAGACCACCATGAAGGCCCCAGAAAGAGCCCAAGAGGGGAACCTCGAATGGGTCCCAGGAGCCTCCCTCGCAAGATGGCCCCCAAGGACCAGAATGGCGGCGCGTAGGGCTTCACCAGAAGGCTCGGCTGCACAGGGAACGTAACGTTGAGCAGTGACGGCCTTACTTAAGACCCCCCCACAAGAGCCCCGAGAGGCCGCGCAAAGCCCCTCAGAGGTCCCCAAGAGGTCGCCCCCCCTCCCCTCCCCTCCCTCCCCTCCCCCGATTCTGAGGGCCAGGCGGCGGATGCGAGGGCCCGAGGCGACGCCCCTCCCCCCCCATCCTCGATCCTCCTCCTCCTCCTCCTCCTCCTCCTCCTCCTCCTCCTCATGCTCCTTTCCTTCTCGACATTTGATCATCGATCCTCCTCCGCCTCCTGCTCCTCCTCCTCATTGTTCTCCTCGATCGCTTCCTCCTCCTCGTCCTCCTCCTCCTCCTCCTCCTCCTCGTCGTCCTCCTCCTCCTCCTCCTCCTCCTCCTCGATTCTAGTTTCTTTTTGCCGATACTAATCCTCTCGCATTGCAAACTTGCTCCGAGGGCGCCTGTGCCAGGCGACGCGCGGGCCGAAGAGCTCCGCCCAGCCTGGGGCCCCACGGCTGGCGCTATGACGGAGAAGCTCCTGCAGCTCCCGTTGAAATATAGATACTCCAGATTTCGTAATAAAAGGAGGGAGGGGGTCTGGACCCTCCAAGACAAGCCATTTCAGACTCCCCCTCGTGGGAGAACCCTCCAAAGCGTCGTCCCCAGACCCCCCCAGGCCCTCCAAGATAGCCCGGAAGAGACCCCCCCCCGAAATGAGACCCCCCCTCCCTTTATTACGAAATCTGGAGTACGCTGCTGGACTCGCCGACGACTCGCGCTGGCAGGCGGCTGCAAGCCGAAACCAATCATAGTGCAAGAATGCTGGATCGGCGAGAACTCGGTAAAACGATAAATCCTCTTTCTCTCGGCTACACGCAACGAGTGACCCTAGGCCAGAGTGACCTTTGGAGCGCGGACTTAGGATGCGCAAGGTGGCCAAATTCAGGCGCGCAAGCAGCCGCTAACAACTCGCGCTGAGTGATCGAAGGGACCCTGATGAGCCCGCACCAAAAGTCAATACGGCGACGGGCCACTCTTACGTGTAGTCGATCCTCCTCCTCCTCCTCCTCCTCCTCCTCCTCCTCCTCCTCCTCCTCCTCCTCGGTCCCCGATCGCCCCCTGGGGCGACCTGGGCCACCGCGGGGGGGACGCCGCCCGCGGCGGCAGCGCCGCCGGAGCCGCTGGGCTGCTCAGCGAGGCTGCTGCGGCCAGCCGCCTGCAGCGCCCCGCGCCGCCGTCGCCTCCGCCGCCGCCGCCGCCGCCGCCGCCTCCGCCGCCGTTCTCGCCGCCGAGGGGCCCTCGCCATTTCGTGCCGCCGTCGTCGTTCTCGGCGTCGACCTCCTTCCTCCTCCAGGCATCTGCGCGCCCTCCGCCGCCGTTCTCGCTGCCGCCGTCGCCGTCGCTCGCAGCCGTCGCTCGGCGGTCCGCGCGGATTTCTTGGATCTGCGCCGGAGCCCCCTCACTTGTGCGCGGAGCGCGCCGGGGGCTGCGCTGGAGTCGCCGCCCGGGGTGCCAAAACGCCAATCCAAGTAGTCCGTGCGGACCTCCGAAAGTTTATGTTTACGGAGCCTGTTCGTCCTGGGAGAGCCCTCGTCCTGCTCGTCCTGGGAGCGCCTTCGGATACCGCTGCTCGTCCTGGGAGAGCCCTCGTCGCCACGGCTGGAGACCAGTCGTTACCCCCTGTCGATGGAGGGCGTGACAAGGGAGGGAGGGCGAGAGGGGGCCGGGAACCTCACGATTCGCGCCCGCGCCGTCTGGGAATGCCCAGGGCTGGCTGATTCCCAGACGGCGCCGGCGCGACTCGTGACCTGTGGAGGCGGAGGGGGGCGGGGCCGGCCACGGGCGTCATCGCGAGTGGTGACCAAGCATCTGCTCCTGCATTCCCCTCGGACTTCTGGTCAGGGCGGGCCCAGGGAGAGGTCTGGGGAGCAGCGGTCTCGGTGCTCTCTTGTTTCCCCCCACCCGCCTGCGGCCCCCACCCGCCGCCGCCGCCCTCGTCGCCGCCATCGCCGTCCCAAGTCTCCGACGACCCAGTTTTTGTCAATCCTTCGACTCTCCTTCGACGATCGGCCCAACTTCGACTCTCTTCCTTCAACCCTTCGATTAGCCTTCTCCTTCGTCCCAACTCTCCGGCGATCGAGTTCTCCTTCGATGTCGGCCTCTTGGGCCCGTGGGGCCCTCCAAGAGTGCTCGGGGAGGAAGACTGCCCCCAGGGACGCGGCTGGGGCCTCCTGGGGCTGCGGATTGCAAACGGTCGCGTCGGCGGATGTCGAGGGCCGTCGCTCTCGTCGTCTTCCCACCCTCCCAGGTCGCCGCCGCCTCCGCCGTCGTTCTCGCCGCCGCCGTCGCCGCCGTCGCTCTCGCCGGTGTCTCCCTCCTCCCCTCGGCCTGCGGCGTCCTCCGTCACCGTTTCGTGCCGCCGTCGTCGTTCTCGTCGTCGACATCCTTCCTCCTCCAGGCATCTGGGCGCCCTCCGCCGCCGCTCTCGCCGCCGCCGTCGCGGTAGCCGTTCTCGCTGTCGTCCTCTCTTCCTCCTCCAAGCCTCTGGCGTCTCGCTGGGTCGCCGCCACACTCTGGGCCTCCCGGCTCCGGAGCGCCCTGCAGACCCCGTGTGGAAGGGAGGAAGTCCTTGCTCTTGTGGGGCGCAGAAGGACATGCCAGTACTATGCGCTCCCCTTGGAGGCGTTCGGCCGAATTTAACATATATGTATATATATATAAATAGAGAGAGAGAGAGAGAGAGATAGCACAAACGTATCACCCTGGCGGTATGGCCAGAAAATGCCCTCCACCGAGCTTATACTATAAGAATTCTGAGCACGCGCGTCGCCCCTGGTGGGCGACGCGCCGATAGCAGAAGTATGTTTGGGTGATACCGGTCTTAAGCTCACTGTGGCCAGTGGCACACGAGGTGACCGAAGAATATTGCCAGACGTCAACATTGGATCGATGAATGCCGAACGCACAACAGCTCTAGACTCGGAACCGTTACGACGGCAAACGACGCATGACCAGATCCAAGCTGGGCGGAGAGTGTGGCCTTGACACAATCGGCGAAAAACATCTGCATAGGTCGTCAAAGTGCAATCTCATCATCCGATAGTTTGACGTAGTCCTCCCTCCTTCTCATCCTGCCCTGTCCATCCCTGCGCTTTCGGCCCACCCCGGCCGCGCCTGCGCCCGTATCGTGCAAGGACACTCCGCACTGGGTGCAGAATTTGTAGCGAGCCTCCACCTGCGCACGTGGGACGCCCTGCTCAACCAGGAGATGAAGGGGAGGGGGAGAACGAGGAAGTGGAAGAGGTAGATTTCGACTTTAGGAGGATTTCGAAGGCACCAGATGGTTCTGGGGGTCTTTAGGGGCGAGGGGGAGGGTGAGGAAGAGGAGGAGCAGGAGTAGGAGGAACACGAAGGGGAGGTAAGTGCGAAGATGGAGAGGGAGAAGGGGGAGCAAGCCCGCAGCAATGCAGCCTGAACTGGGGCTGCTGTCGCTGCCGAACGACCCCCCTCGGGTGGTGGAGGGGGGGGGCTCGGCGGCGCTGGTCGCTACACCACTTCACTGTCTCCCCTCCTTCCTGTTTGATATCCTCCACGATCTAAAGTTTGGACTTGTGCGATCGCCGAGTCCGCGCCAAAAAATTAATGTCCCCACAACTGGCTGGTGGAACCCTGCAGCTGGCGGGGCCCCTCACCTCTAAACAGGAGAGCCGAAGGCCGCCACTGACAACGGCAGGCCTGCGAGCGGGGATGGCGAGGACTGTGTGGGGGTCGATGCGTCCCCCTGAGCCCATCTCCATCCAACGTTTCCCCTTGGCTTTCGGGCCACATGAGCAGCAAACTCCGCGACTCTCCTCCTTGTCTTCTCCACGGCTGACTCCTCCTCCTCCTTGCCCCCTCCACCTGAGACCCTGAAGCCTTGCTCCTCCCTCCCTGAGACCCTGAAACCCTTGCCCCCTCCTCTCCCTCCTCCTCCACCTGAGACCCTGAAGCCCTGACGGCAGAACTGTCATCCGACGTTGACCTCTTCCTCCACCTTCCCCTCCTCCTCCTCCTCCTCCTCCTCCTCCTCCTCCTCCTCCTCCTCTTCCTCCACCTTCCCCTCCTCCTCCTCCTCCTCCTCCTCCTCCACCTTTTTCTCCTCCTCCTCCTCCTCCTCCTCCTCCTCCCGACCCTCCGCGCACCACGGAGAAACCGCCGCGCGCCCACCAGAGAGAGAGCCCGGAGGCTCCGAGGGCCCCGAGAGAGCCCACACAGAGCCCGAGGGTGGCCGCAATAGGAGTCCATGGTTTTCAGCCCCGTGGGTCGGGTCTATTTCTTTCCGGGGGCGGGGTCGGCGGAAAGGCGTACACCCTGCGAAATGCTTAAGAAATCATGGGTTAAGAAATTCATAGTCTCAGAACTTGAATAAAAACCAAACATTTCCATTCAAATCTTAGGATTTACATTGAAACATTAAGAATAATCGAGACTCTGGCCGAACATGTAAGTTTTCTTAAGCATCGCCTAAGGTGTATTTCTTTCTGGGGGCGGGGTCGGCGGAAAGGCGTAGGCCTCTTGAACAAGACCTCGACCCCCCGATTCCCGTCATGGCGGCTGCAAGATTTGAGCCATCGTCTGCTTTACAGTCGGCACGGCGGGGGGCCTTGGCATATAGGGAATGTAGGTTCTGTTTGGCTCCATGTCCCAGCCTCCTAATGGCTTCGAGCCAATCCGTTGACTGGAACGGGGGAGGTGCAGCTGGCCGATTGGACAGGAAGAAGGAGGACAAGGAGGAAGAGGCCGAGAAAGAGGGGAGGGGGGAGGAGGAGCAGGAGAAGGAACGAGGGTAGGAGGGGGAGGGGAAGCAGCAGCAGCGACGACAGGAGCAGGATAAGCGGGATGAGCAAGGGAATGAAAAGGGGAAGGGTCCCAATTTGTGACGCGCGCCAAAGCGAGAACGCCATTCCAAACGATGGGAATGATGAACCGGTCTTTATACGTGGAAAACGTTACAGCGCATCCGGACGTTGCCAGCGGAGAGACGAACGTAATTCTCATGATGAGCAAATGTGCACTAGAGGGAGAGGGGTGGGTCTTCCGCGGCGAATGCTCGCCAACCAAGAAGATTATCAGGACTTCTCTAGATCACAACCCTGAATTTGGTCGCCACTCCAAGAATTCCCTTTTCGACTCCGCGTGCATACCAAACCCTCCAAAGTCAAACATCCAAACGTTTGAGGTCCCCCGGCCTTGGGATGAGCGGTATGCGACCTTCGGCGGTGGACAAACCTCCCTTTAGTACACCTCCCCTTAGTGGAGACGGCCTGGGACCGAAACCGACGGACCTGGACCCGCAAAAATGACGGCCGCGGCGCCCTCTCGCGAACCGAAAACGGCCAGTTCCTTAATCGACGTGTCAGGGTAGGAGGTCTGTCCACTCCCGGCTGGGAGCGTGCCCTCGGGTGCCCATAGCACGACGCGTTCCGGGCAGGCCGCCCGGCGCGAGGGAGGCCCGAACCATGAGGAGGAGGGGGAGGAGGAGGAGGAGGAGGAGGAGGGGGAGGAGGAGGAGGAGGAGGAGGAGGAGGAGGAGGGGGAGGAGGAGGAGGAGGAGGAGGAGGGGAGGAGGGGGAGGGGGAGGAGGAGCGGTATGCGACCTTCGATATCTGCCAGCATCCCTGCTCCGGCTCCTCCTCCACCGGTCTCTCGCCTCACCCTCTGCTCCTCTGTCCCCTCCTCTTCCTCCCGTGGCAGGGGTGCCTCCTTCTGGCGAGAGCCCACGCGGCTGCAGGGCCATGGTGCTTGCAGGACAAAGGACCAGATCCTGGTATGAAGGAGGAGGAGGAGGAGGAGGAGGAGGAGGAGGAGGAGGAGGAGGTAGGTCTGGTACATCTTGGGGGAAGGAACATGGAGAGAGAGAGCGAGAGAGAGAGAGAGAGAACGAGAGAGAGAGAGATCTATAGATATATATATATATATATATACATAGATACATATATATATATACATATATATATATATATATATACATACATACATAGGCAGAGGTGGAACGGAGAGCCCCCCACAGGGAAATCGGCTTCGATTTCGTGTTTGTGTCGTGCGTGCGAGGCGAAGCTGCGGGGGCGCGCGAGAGAAATGACGCCGCCCTGGCCAGGTCGGGGCAGAACAAAAGACCGCCCCTCTGGTGGGCTGGCGTGGCCAGGGGTGTCCCGCCGTGGTGTCCTGTGGTATCCCGTTGGTGTCCCGTTGGTGTCCCGTCGGTGTCCCGTCGGCGGTGGGCGGGCGGTGGCCAGGGCGTCCCGTCTTGGTATCGATAGTGAAGTCGATCGTGAGATCGATAATGATATCGCCAGAATGGGATGGGTAGTGAGATCAAAAGTGATATCGACAGTAAGGTTGATCGTGACATTGGTTGTGCTCGCGCTATCGGATGCGCAGGGAGGTGACGCCCCCAAGGTCTTGCAGATCTCGCGGGGACAGGCGATCTCCCCTGGGGCGAGCACAGTAGGATCGATCGCTGAATCCATTGGTACTGAGACTTGAAAGGAGATCGATAGTGGAATCGTGAGATCGAAAGCGGGGACGATGGTGATATTACATCGCAACGCAACATCGTCATCACGCGTTGTCATTAATTCGGGGGTGCGTCACCAGCATCGCCATCATCACACCCATCGTATTTGCCAGCAATTCATTCTCCCCCCCAAACCTCCTTATCACCCGAAGGGTGGTCGTACAGGTATGTGCACATACACACATACTAACTCTTCCACATATTTGTAAGCCCAGAAGGGGTAGGAAAACCTGCCCCTCCTACACCCCCCGGCCGCGCCCTCCGGATCCTTGTCCCAAGGACCCTCTGGACGCCCCTGCAGGAGGCCCCACGGGCTTTCCAGAGCTCCTGGAAGCCCCTGCTGGGCCTCGGCAGCGGGCCCACATCGGTCGGGAGGGCGGCCGAACGGCTCTCCGAGGGCTCCAAGGGCCCCAGACACTCAGCAGACGCCCGAACACGACCCAAAGAAGACTCCCTGAGAGGCTTTCGAAACGCAGGGCAAATCCCACCAGCCCTCTGGGCGTAGGTGGTCTAAGGCGTTTCCTCTTCCAACCCCCGTCTTCCTCTCGGGGAGGGGTTTCTCCCGTTTGCGGGCGGGTTGGTCCCGGTGGGTAGCTTGATCCCTCCCCCTACCCCCTCCCCTGGACCTGGACGGGGGGGGGCCGCGACGCGTTGGAGCGTCCACGATGGCCCAAGACGGTTCCAAGAGGGCCCCTCAGAGTCCAAGATGAGCTCCAAGATGGTTCAAGATAGCGCGCGATACCTCAAGGTGGCTCCTAAGATGCTCCAAAAGGCACCAAAACCGTTCCAAGACGGCTCCGAGAGGCGTCTGGGTCCTCCAAGGAGGCCCCCAAGAAGCCAACATCCTTCAAAACCTAAGGAACATCAATGTGTTTTGCTTCTCGCCTTCTCGCTTCCGATGGTCATCCGAGGCCTCAAGATGACTCCAAGATGGCCCAACAGAGCCCCAGGGGAGGCCCAAAAGAGTCCCAAGACGGCCTCCAGACCGCCCCAGAGCGCCCCAAGAGCGCTCCAAGATGGAGTGCATGAGGCGATTGTCGGTGCTCCCGAGGGGGGAGGCTGATTGACGCTCTCCTCTTTTTTGATCGATGTCCTCCACAAGATGGCCCCCAAAGCGGCCCTAAAGCTCCCAAGAACGGCCCAGGAGGGCCCCAAGAGGCGCCAAAACAGCCCCAAGAGGCGTCCAAAAGGCCTCCGAAAGGCTCCCCAGAGGCCCCCCAAAGGCCTCAAGAGGATCTCCGAGGCACATGCCTGGGCCCGCCAGGAGGCCCCCTAGACGCCACAAGAGGCCTCCAAAAAGCTTCCAAGAGACATCCGAAGAGTCCCCGAAAAAGTCTTCTGTATGCTCCTACACTTCCCTGATCACCTCAACTCTCCTGGGTATCGATTCGGGATGGGCAGGTGGGGCTCTTTTTTTGTTGGTGCGCGGGCTCGCGAAGCAGGTCGAAAGCTGGGCAAAGCTAGGGCGGGCCGCGCCGAATCAACAGGCTGGTGGAGAAACGCGAAGCGTCAACAGTATCCCATTGTTTTTTGCGTGATTTCGGGGAGGTCTGTTCTTCGGTCTTCCAAGCGTCCGAGACCGCCCAGGTCAGAACATCGCCCCCGACACTATCCGAATCCAAGGCAGCCCAACAAAGCCCCAAGATAACCCGAAGAGGGCCCCATAACGAACCACGATG